GGAAAATGGGGAAAATGGGATCAGGGATTGGGAAAAAAGGGTCAGGGACCGGGAGAAACGGGAAAATGGGATCAGGGACTGAGAAAAATGGGAAAACGGATGGAAAAATGGGATCAGGGACTGGGAAAATGGGGAAAATGGGATCAGGGACTGGGAAATCGGGATCAGGGACTGGGAAATCGGGATCGGGGATTGGGAAATCGGGATCGGGGATTGGAAATCGGGATCGGGGATTGGGAAATGGGGATCGGGGATTGGGAAATCGGGATCGGGGATTGGGAAATGGGGATCAGGGATTGGGAAATCGGGATCGGGGATTGGGAAATCGGGATCAGGGATTGGAAATCGGGATCGGGGATTGGAAATCGGGATCGGGGATTGGAAATCGGGATCGGGGATTGGGAAATGGGGAAATTCGGGATCAGGAGAGGAAAATCGGGAATTACTTCATGCGGATCTTGCGGGCCATGGCGCGGAGCTCGTCCTCGCGCTCCTGCGGGAAAATCCGTCACAGCCGGCCCCGATCCTTCCCAAATCCCAAATCCCAGTTCCCAAATCCCAAATCCCAAATCCCAAATCCCAGTTCCCAATTCCCAGTTCCCAGTTCCCAAATCCCAGTTCCCAATTCCCAGTTCCCAAATCCCAAATCCCAATTCCCAGTTCCCAGTTCCCAAATCCCAAATCCCAATTCCCAGTTCCCAATTCCCAATTCCCAGTTCCCAATTCCCAAATCCCAGTTCCCAGTTCCCAAATCCCAATTCCCAATTCCCAGTTCCCAGTTCCCAGTTCCCAGTTCCCAAATCCCAGTTCCCAGTTCCCAATTCCCAATTCCCAAATCCCAATTCCCAATTCCCAGTTCCCAATTCCCAATTCCCAGTTCCCAAATCCCAATTCCCAATTCCCAATTCCCAATTCCCAATTCCCAATTCCCAGTTCCCAATTCCCAATTCCCAGTTCCCAGTTCCCAGTTCCCAAATCCCAATTCCCAGTTCCCAATTCCCAATTCCCAGTTCCCAATTCCCAAATCCCAGTTCCCAGTTCCCAAATCCCAATTCCCAAATCCCAATTCCCAGTTCCCAGTTCCCAGTTCCCAAATCCCAGTTCCCAGTTCCCAATTCCCAATTCCCAATTCCCAGTTCCCAGTTCCCAGTTCCCAGTTCCCAAATCCCAGTTCCCAATTCTTAATTCCCAGTTCCCAATTCCCAATTCCCAATTCCCAGTTCCCAGTTCCCAGTTCCCAATTCCCAGTTTCGCCCCGTTTTAATCCCATTTTTCCCAATTTTCCCCATTTTAATCCCTTTTTCCCCCATTTCCCCCCCCCATTTTTATCCCATTTCCCCCCAATTTTTATCCAAATCTTCCCCATTTTAATCCCATTTTTCCCCATTTTCCTCCTGTTTTTATCCCATTTTCCCCCCAATTTTTATCCAAATCTTCCCCAATTTTTATCCCATTTTTTCCCCATTTTAATCCCCTTTTCCCCCCGTTTTCCCCATTTTCCCCCCATTTTTTATCCCATTTTCTCCCCAATTTTTATCCAAATTTTCCCCATTTTAATCCCATTTTTTCCCATTTTCTCCCCGTTTTTTATCCCATGTTCCCCCCGTTTTTATCCCATTTTCGCCCCAATTTTTATCCAAATCCTCCCCATTTTTATCCCATTTTTTCCCCTCTTTTTTCCCATTTTTCTCCCGTTTTCCCCCATTTTCCTCCCGTTTTTATCCCATTTCCCCCCATTTTTTATCCAAATTTTCCCCATTTTAATCCCATTTTCCTCCCATTTTCCTCCCATTTTCCCCCCATTTTTTATCCCATTTTCCCCCCAATTTTTATCCCAATCTTCCCCATTTTTATCCCGTTTTTTCCCCTCCTTTTCCCCATTTTTATCCCGTTTTGTCCCCGTTTTTTCCCCTCTTTTCCCCCATTTTTATCCCGTTTTTTCCCCTCTTTTCCCCC